GGGGGGGGGGGGGGGGGGGCGGGGGCGGTGACAGTCTGGGCTAAAAGCACGGATCAGGGAAGCTCTCACACTCTCACCAGAAGCAGGAGTTGACCATGGCAGCTGTCACTTCACCATCACTGGGAGACGTGGTATGTGAGGTGGTTCAGAGTAAGGGATTTGGAAAACACCCCTGTGGTCAAACCTCTGTCTGAGTGTGACTCCTTGTGAGACCTCGGACAAGTGACTAAAGCTCTCTAAGCTTCAGTTTTTTTCTCTGCTTTGAGCAGTATTTCTACAGATATTTCTATTTAGGCTTCATCCACAATTAATACTTATGAAGCAAAATTTTGTTTGAATGTATATGAGAGATCTTCAAAAAGTTTACAGCAGGATTTGTATTATCCTTTAATTCCATTTTTCCATCAACTTTTTAAATTACCCTCATATTATCCTGTCAGTATAATCTGATCTAATATATGTCTTGATTTTTTTAAAAAAATAATTATCTAATTTCTAAATATACACTCCATATCTTGATATTCCTTCTTGCTGTTTTTTTTTTTTTGTCATTCTACTTTTATTTTTATTTTTAATTTTTCCTTAATTTTATTTTGTCGATATACAATGAGGTTGATTATTGTGGCCCATTACCTTATCCTGCTGTTTAAATCCTGGCTATTTTGCTAAATTTTAAAACCTCCACATAAGAGCAAATATAGTAAATTAAGTTTTCCAACTGTTTTTGAAAGTAGTGGCTCAAAGAAAGCTGCAGGAAAATGGGCAAGAACACTAAATTCTTGGAAAGATATGGATTTATGTAACAAAAATGGACCAGGATGTTGTTCTGTTTCTTGCTAAATATATGACTTTGGGTAAGTCATTTAACCCTTTGGTGCCTTGGTTTCTTGATTTGTGGGAGTGGAAATGATGACTGTCTTGCCCTCCCCACAGGGCTATTGTGCAGATCACAAAGATTTTAGGGCCTAAAGGTTTAGCACACTTAGATGGAAATAAGTTTTCAAGGGGAATATTATGAAGGGGGCTGGTTAACAGAAGTCTGCTTACCTGTGTTTAGTCCTATAGAACTCTAGAAACCTGACTACTGTGATCACGTAGAGTCTAGCCAGTCTATTTATCAATATAGGACAATTCTTGGAGCTGCATGGTGCTGAGAAAAGGAGGTGTTGATCCCATACTCTGGACAGAGAACCATATGTGGCTATACTTACATCCTAGCTGAATGAACTGAGCTTTCCGACTGGGGCAGGCTTGAGGAACATAAAACATTTGGCAACCCAAAGAACTTTTGCTTTGCCAAGTGGCATTACAATCCTGGGATAGAGCCAAAGGACTCTGGACTAAGAAAGGCAATTTTTGAAATTATGTGGGAAGAGGCAGGAGAGAGAGACCACCAAGGAATAAGAAATATAAAGAGAAAAGCTTTGAAAAGAGAACAAAAAAGACTTGATGGCTAAATCTAATTAAGTTTTATCTGTGGATTGTGGATATTCCTTTCTGATCCAATGCTTTTTGAAGACTTTATTTTTTGGAGTGTATTATTTTTTTTCTCTTTGAGATGTGTTAAAGCACTAAGTATAAACTCATGGAGGGTTTAGGCTAGGAGCAGAATCCACTGTAAATTGCTCGGTCACACTTGATTTTCCTACATCAGTGTGCTAGCTGCTTCGAGCCAGCTTCCCCCAGTATTACAATGATTATGACAATGGTGTGAGGTATGGCCAACCCCTCTGATGCCCAGCAGGTAAGGTCCATAATTGTAATGGCAGGTTTTAGGACAGCAGCTTTAACATCAAATCTAAGAATTTTCTGGCAGAGAAAAGATGGAGAGGAGAGGAAAGAAAAAAGAAGGATACGGTAGATAAGCCAGCATTTAGAAAATGCCTGTGACAGGAAGAACATTATACTAGGTACATTAGGAAAGTCACGCCCAAAATTCAGTTCATACAAATGCAGAGATGGTGTGGCACAGGGGAAGTAGGTATGACTTAAGAGTTGGGAGATCCAGGCTCTATTGTTAGATTTGTTACTAACTAGCTATGTCATTCCAAACAGTCCAAACTGTGGTCTTTGATTCACCCATCTATACAACAAAGGAGTTGGATTAAAGGGCCTTTGAGAAACTTTTCAGTTCTGAAATTCTGTGATTTAAATGAACTATGTTATCTTTAGTTTGAATAAAGAGAACATACATGTGGAGCACAAGGACACTCAGATCCACATGGTTCCTGTGCTTGTGGTGAAAGTGTACACAGAGAAATTGAATTGACCTATTTCCTGAGCTGGAAAGTTGTTGGTAGATAGGCCTATCAAAATTTATTCACTGATGGGCAATGCTTTCATCTATTGCTTTTTGTGGTTGCCTCTGTTTTCTATATTTCACAGCAGTTGGGCTACACACCTCACCTGACCTTTTCTACTTCTACACCTCCAGTCAAAAAATAAACTCTGACTAGAACCTCTTAAATTACCCTTCTCTTCCTCTCTCTCATCTTCTCTGAGTCCCGTCTGTTCCCTCTTTCCCTTTAAAAAAAATCTCAGAAAAACTTCCTCTCAGGACTCTCAGGTACAAGGGACAGAAACAAAGAAGATGCATCTTCAAAGTATGGAGAGCACAGTGTTGAGCTGGTCTCAGGGCTGAGAGTGTCTAGAGCTCTTTCTGTCTTTGTTTATGTGTCTACTCTTTGGACCCATCATGTGACCAAGGGTCATGAGGCTCTAGGATTTTCCCAGCTTCATACACCTACCCATCCCTTTGGCCAAGAAGCAGTATCTATTTCTGAAGAAGGTGGGGAGGCCAATTGAGGATGCATTGATACTACCACAGGGAGAATAATTGTGGGTTGAACAGCTGCAGATAGAATTGTAGTCTGACAGGATTTATCCCCCCTCAGCACTTTGAAGATATCATCCCATTGTCTTCTGACTTCCATAATTGCCAATGAGAAATCCACTGTCAGTCTACTTGTCCTTCCACTGTAAGTAAATTATATTTTCCCTTTGGTTGCTTTTATGATTTTTCTCTTTATCTTTGGTGTTCTAAATTTTCACAATGAAGTCACTAAATGTGGGTTTGTTTTTATTCATTCTACTCAGGATTCAAGTTTCTTCAATCTGAAGATACATGTCTTTCTTCAGGGATGTGCAGGAAAAAAAAAAGATATTGTTGCATAACCGTGAAATGGCAAAAATAAAAAAGAAATTATCAAGTGTTGGCAAGAACGTGGGGAAAATTCTCATAAGCTGCCAATAAGAATTTATAAACTATTACAACACCTTTGGGGTGCAATCTGGGGATATTAAAAAACAGTATATTGTATAACCTGTGATCAAGCAATTATGATTTTAGGCACTCATCCCAGAGAAAAATTGAATTTATAGAGAAAAGAGATACACATAAATTTGTTTAATGAATTATTTTTTGCCATTGGGGGGAAAAAAGAGATAGAAAAAGTTAACCAAAATTCTCACCAATAAGAGAATGAGTGGATCAATTGTGGTATATTCATAAATAAAATCCTAAACAGCAGTGAAAACAATGAATCAGATGCACCACATCAGGTAGATAAATTTGGAAAACAAAATGAGGAGTATAAAAAGCAAATACTAGATGGTAAATGCAATATGATGCCCTATGTATAAACTTTAACAAACCACACTACTATGTTGTGTATTTCTAATAAGCAGAAGTCATAAAATCTCACACTTTATCTATAATGCAATAGAATAAAAAATGACAACAAAGTAAAAGGATATACAAAAAATCTATATTCTTAGGAATAAAAACAATTTTTAAGAACTCCTGGTTTGAAGAAATAATAGAAATTAAAATCTATATAGAAATAGTTAAATATTAGCCAGACAGATATTTGTTTGGGGAGATAAGTGGGAGACTGATGAAAATCCTGGAGTGACTCTAAGGTTACAAGTCTTAGAAAACAAAAATGTTTCTTTGGAGTTGGTTTTGGGTGTGGACTTATGATTGTGGCTTCTGATGGTTTTTGACATGGGGAAACAAGGGGAAGAGATGGAATACACTCTTCTCCCACAAATCTTCCTTTAGCAATAGATAGGAAAACACAGTAGAAGACAGTAGAATGTTGTAGAATGTGGAGGGATGTAAAATGGACAGTATTAAAGTAGAGAGAATCTCAGAGTATAGGAAAGAAAGTGCATTAGGTGTTATCTTGTGCAGAGAGCTGGTGTGGTCAAGCACAGGCAGCTGCCCGAAGCTCCAACAGGGCCATGGCTCTGTGTCCTTGAGTGAGCACTGCCAAACCTAGCCATGTTTAAGAAGCAAATAAAAATATGGGGACAATGTCAGAGGAAGGTGGGGGGGGGGGCTGGGGGGAGAGACAATGCCAGAGAGTAGGGAGAAAGAGTGGTAGACTCAGATAAGATATGGCTCAGATGCCATGCCCCCAGAAATAGGAATCAAGCTAAGTACTGTCCCAAGGAAGCTGGGGGGAGGGGGCGGGTTGAGGTCAGAGTGGGGGGGGGGGGGGGCTGGGGTGAGAGACAATGCCAGAGAGTAGGGAGAAAGAGTGGTAGACTCAGATAAGATATGGCTCAGATGCCATGCCCCCAGAAATAGGAATCAAGCTAAGTACTGTCCCAAGGAAGCTGGGGGGAGGGGGCGGGTTGAGGTCAGAGTGTCCTGGCTCCCTCACTTGGGGATACCATGGCTGTCTGTGGAAGTGCCAATAAAAAGGCAGGGCAATTTAACTACACAGAATCTTCAGGTAGAAATGTTTGTCTTGCCTAAATTCTGGTGCTAAATGAAAAACAAAATGAGAACCTCTACTATGAACAGTTTCTAATGATGAGATATCTAAGGCCTTACATTCCTGGTATAACACGGTGGGGTGGGGGTAGAAGTAGAATACATGTCAGACCACTGGTGAATGAGGACAAAGTACCATTCTAGTCCCATCCAGACCCAATAAAGAAACTTAGAAACCCTTCAGCTTGTTTTAGATTTTGGCAAAGCCAGACACCATACTCAGAGCTTGCTGGGGTCTAGGTTCCATGTCATCCAGAACACACACAATTACTACAGAATAATTGTGGAGGGGAGAGCATAGCATACATTAATTCATGCAAAAAGTTGGATATTAGTTCAAAAATGTTAAAATACTGGATTCTCAATTCTTGTCTGTTGTGGAAATAAAACTTGGGGATGGATCAAAATATCTGGAAATTACTTCAAACTGGTGGGCAGCTAAATGTAATGTGCCTTGGATGTTATAACTAAAATGTACTGTAATCCAATTATACATTTTATCTTTTAAGGTTTGTTCCGGGGAGCACTACCCTGTAAATATTATGGAAATTATATAAAGTTCTGAAAGCTATTCTATACTAACTTCTTGAGTGGATATTCTCAACCACAATGTCTGGTAGATGACTGTGATAATTCCGGATGTTGACTGATTTCATGTTTAGACATTTTGACTGGTTTTGGGAAACCTGAGGTGTGTACTCAGAATTGTCCTGGTAGATGCTTAACAACTGAGTCTCTGGGTAGAAAGCCTTGATTTATAGTGTTTGCCAATTTCCATGGTGTAAATATTTCCACTATGCTGATTTCAAGCTGTAAACATGATGTCCCTCAATGCAGAATTGGGAGATGTGCACAACTGATTCTTGTGAATCAGCACAGGTCAGTGCCAGGGCACCACTGTAATACCCACAGCCTCTGTAAAACTAGGGTGTACTACTAAAAATTATGCCCCATATATATACAAAAGCACTAGTAAGGGCCGGCCCGGTGGCGCACTGGATAGTGCGCCGCTTGGGAAGCGCGGCGGCGCTCCCGTCCGAGGGTTCGGATCCCACATACAGACCGGTTCCCGCTCACTGGCTGAGCGAGGCGCGGGAGCGACACCGAGGCTTGCGATCCCGTTGCCGGTCCCCGGTCCGGTACGGGGGCAACACTGAGGGTTGCGATCCGTTG